TGAATCGGGAGAAAGGAAAATCGAGGCAAATAACAATAAAGTAGAGATATACAATTTCCGGGTTGACCAAATACCGGGGGCACCGCCGATCTAATGGGTTTGGAATCAAAGAAATTCGTACAGAAGCCTTTCCCTCCAAGTGCGGCACCGAAACCCATTCCGAAGAAGTTTTGAATACCAGAAATTCCTAAGTACAATGGGACCACCGACCCTAACGAGCATGTCACTTCTTATAAGTGCGTAATAAAAGGGAATGACTTGGAAGATGATGAGATCGAATCTGTTCTACTGAAGAAATTTGGAGAAACCTTGTCGAAAGGAGCAATGATATGGTACTACAATTTGCCGCCTAATTCCATCGATTCCTTTGCCATACTTGCAAACTCCTTCGTAAAGGCATATGCCGGAGCAATAAAGGCTGCGACTAGGAAGTCGGACCTCTTCAAGGTGAAATAAAAAGACAACGAAATATTGAGGGAATTCGTATCTCGGTTCCATATGGAATGTATGGAACTACCACCAGTCAGAGATGATTGGGCTGTTTAAGCCTTTACTCAAGGTTTCAACGAACGAAGTTCGGTGGCATCACGACAGCTAAAGTAGAATTTAATTGAATATCCAGCGTTAACCTGGGTCGATGTACATAATCAGTACCAATCAAAGATCAGGGTCGAGGATGATCAATTGGGGACCCCATCCGGTTCCGTTTATCCAAACAGGCCCGTCGGCAGAATTCAAAGGGATATTGATAGAGAACCCTGGTCGAACAGAGATCAGTATCAACCATACAAAGTAGATCATAGAAACAGCGGTCCAGGACACAATCCCATCAGAAATGATCGAAGGAACGATCGAGGACAGAGATCTCGAGGGCTTATGAGCAAAAGTGGCTTCGCTAAACATGACGATCCCGAGAAGCACCACGATTATCAGAATATAACTTCAGCATTGATGCATCGGGTATTGTGTCAGCCATTGAGAAAATCAAAGATACTAGATGGCCCAGACCCCTATAAACCAATCCATACCAAAGAAACCACAATCAAATATGCAAATACCATGGTACACATGGTCATAGAACCAAAGACTGCAGACAACTAAGGGAGAAGGTGGCCCGTCTATTTAACGAGGGTCACCTTCGAGAATTCTTGAGCGACCGAGCTAAAAACCATTTCAGAGACAGGTATGCAAACAGGAAAAATGAGCAGGAAGAACCACAACACGTGATTCACATGATCGTTGGCGGGGTCAATATTCCATAAGGGTCCGTGTTCAAACGCACTAAAGTATCAATCACCAGGGAAAAACGAACTCGAGACTATGTGCTAGAAGGCACTTTATCATTCAATGATGAGGAAGCAGAAGGGGTCTCACAACCCCACAATGATTCTTTGGTAATTTCTATCCTTATCAATAAAATTCAGGTTAAACGTGTTTTAATTAATCCAGGAAGCTCGACCAATATTATTCGATCGAGGGTCGTGGAGCAGCTTGGCCTACAAGATCGGATCGTACCCGCAGCTCGGATTCTCAATGGCTTCAACATGGCGAGTGAAACAACTAAAGGTAAAATAATCCTACTAGTAAATATAGCCGGAACTATTCAAGAAATAAAGTTCCATGTGTTCGAGGGTGATATGAGATACAATGCACCGCTTGGAAGACCTTGGATTCACAACATGATGGCGGTCCCCTCAACCCTTCACCAAATGCTGAAGTTCCCAACATCGGATGGAGTAAAAACGGTGTATGGGGAACAACATGCTGCCAAAGAAATGTTCATGGTAGACGAAGTAATACCGGTATCAGCGCTTTCGTCAACAAAGGGATCGGAGTCCAAAGGAAAATAGGAAGCTAAATAGCAACCACAACCACTAGTCTCGACTCAGTCGGAGAAGCAGGGAACGGACGAGGATGATGACTACTGGATCCCTCGATCCTTCATAATCCCCGAGGATTCCGACGCCACCAAATCGACAGTCGAAGAGCTGGAGCAAGTCATACTGATCGGGCATCTACCCGATCGAAAGGTATACCTGGGTACGGAGTTAACCCCCAAGCTCAGGAAAAAACTCATTAAATTTCTTACCAATAACATGGATTGTTTTGCTTGGTCCCACCTAGATATGACAGGGATCCCGCCGGATATCACTACACATCGACTGAGCTTGGACCCGAAGTTCCACCCGGTAAAACAAAAGAGAAGGCCTCAGTCCGAGGTAAAACTTGCATTCATCAAGGACGAGGTAGCCAAACTTCTCAAAATAGGATCCATTCGGGAAGTAAAATATATCAAATGGTTAGCAAACGTAGTCGTAGTCCCTAAAAAGGGAAATAAACTTAGAATGTGCATAAACTTTAAAGATTTAAACAAAGCATATCCTAAAGACTCTTTTCCTCTGCCGAATATCGATCGCATGATCGATGCCATGGCCGGCCACGAGATCCTTAGTTTTCTCGATGCTTATTCCGGGTACAATTAAATACAAATGAATCCGGAGGATCAGGAAAAAACTTCGTTCATCAATCACTAAGTACGGTACCTATTATTATAATGTAATGCCGTTTGGACTAAAAAATATCGGTGCCACTTATCAATGCTTAGTAAATCGAATGTTCGAAGAACAAATAGGTAAATCAATGGAGGTTTATATTGACGATATGCTAGTTAAGTCCCTGCAAGAAGAGGACCATTTGACATATTTGCAAGAGACCTTCGATATACTAAGGAAATACAACATGAAAATTAACCCAGATAAATGTGCATTCGGGGTCGGCTCGGGCTAGTTCCTCGGCTTTATGGTATCAAATCGAGGGATCAAAATCAACCCTGATAAGATCAAGGCAATCGAAGATATCACAGTCGCGGATAATGTTAAGGTCGTACAAAGATTAATAGGGCGCATAGCCGCCCTAGGCCGATTCATCTCGAGGTCTTCAGATAGAAGTCACAGGTTCTTCTCACAACTCAAAAAGAAGAACAGTTTTGCATGGACCCTGGAATGCCAACAAGCATTGGAAGAATTAAAGCGGTACCTCTCGAACCCGACACTGCTTCATACTCCGAAAGCAGATGAGCGACTCTACTTGTACTTAGCAGTCTCGAAAATCGCGGTAAGTGGGGTCCTAGTTCGAGAAGAGCAAGGTACGCAATTCCTGTTTACTATGTTAGTCGAACTTAGGTGAGACCGAAACCCGGTACCCACACTTATAAAAATTAGCGCTTGCCCTAATAAGCGCCTCTAGGAAATTAAAACCATATTTTCAGTGTCAACCGATTTGTGTGGTGACTACTTATCCCCTTCGCAATATTTTGCATAAGCCCAAACTTTTAGACCGACTGGCCAAATGGGCTATCGAGATTAGTGGGTACGATATCGAGTATCGATCCCGAACGGTCATCAAGTCTCAAATCTTAGCGGACTTCATGGCGCCAGCCCTCGTACCCGAGGTCGAAAAGGAACTATTATTAAAGTTGGGTACATCATCGGGGGTGTGGACCCTCTTCACAGACGGCGCTTCGAACGTGAAGGGGTCCGGGCTCGGCATCGTTTTGAAGCCGCCCACAGTTAATACAATTAGAGAAGCTATCAAAACTTTCAAGTTAACTAATAATGAGGCCGAGTATGAGGCCATGATTACAACTCTAAGTCCACTGGAAATTTCCCTTTTTTAACAAATCATGAAGGAGCCTAGCAATGGTTCCATAACCTTGAATGAATCTCATGTAATAACTAGTAAAACCAAGGAACCCCCTTAATTCCTTGATAGTAATTGGTTGAGGCCAGCTTAGGACAACTTTCGCCTTGAGTTTATCCATAGACACTCCCTCCTCAGAAATAACATGGCCTAAATAATCTATTCTCGTCACCCCAAAGTCACACTTGCTCTTCTTCACATATAGTGTATTGGCTCTCAAGATATCAAAAGTAACTTCTACGTGCTTTAAGTGATCAGACCAGGAAGAGCTGTAGATGATTATATCATCAAAGAAAACTAAAATAAACTTCCTAAGATGAATGTAAAATATTTGGTTCATGAGGCTTTGAAATGTGGAGGGTGCATTAGTTAAACCAAATGGCATAACTAGGAATTCATAATGGCCATGATGTGTTCTAAATATAGTTTTATGTATATTAGCTTCAAATTAATGGAAGAGATCATTGTGTGTGATTCTTAGAGAAAAAGAATCCTTATTTATTTGAGTTTTCAATTTTTGTATGTGGTTGGCTAGTTTTGATAAGTCTATGATTAATGGCTAGAGATTGGTAAGTTAGGACTTATTTGTGATATTTCCTTAAGATTCCCTTTATTGAACATGCATATTTAGATTTAATGCATCAACTTCACAGATCCATTCAAGAAATATTTTTCTCCCAAGTTAGATATATAAACTATTGTTATATGCGCCAATTTTGTATAATTATTTTCTTGTAAAATATACTTCTGTCATTAAACATGTAATTGATGTTTTAACTTATTTTTCTAAAACTATTCATTCATTAACTTGGGACTAGCGATTGAAAAATAGAACCACCGAGTAAAGGGCGGCTTAGTGCAATACTTAAATCTGTTAATGAGTTGTATAAATATCGCTCAATCTACTTCAGTTTTCACAAAAATGCCAGAGCTCATCCCTCTATTTCTCTATGCTTTTGCAAGTTCTAAATCTTATTTTTCCTAGGACTATTCAAGTAGCAAAATTAACCCAAGTAACGAATAATTTTATAGCAACTGTCTCTGGTCGCTTTGCCGACAAAAAGCCTGGATTTCATGTTTTTATACTATCCTTAACAAGAATTAGCAAAGTCCCTTGGTGATCGACTCACTAATTTTCAAATTTCACTTTGACAACAAAATATAAAAAATATGCTGCCCCACGAAGACTTCAAGAAACTCAAATTTTGCATGAGTAACGCATGGAATTTGAGCACAACTTTGCACAAATTGGAACAAAACAAGAGAAAGGAGAAAGGAGAAAGGATGAAGGGGGAGTCTGCTGAGGAAAATAACTAAATTCTAATATAATATGGCACCTGAAATTGAGGTGACCTTTGCTTTTACAAACAAGGGAAATCAAGAATAAGGGGTAAAGAAAGTAACAAGCAAAGAGTTACTTAGACCAAATTCTGACTGGGGTATTAATTCATTTAACTTACAGCAGAAAGATTAAGCAGTACTCCCTTCCAATTTCTCTACAAAAACATGTCCTCAAAGAAGAGTAAAATGCCCGAATTTCTCATATCTGAACCTAAAAAATAAGTGCAGCACCACAATTTCTACAGATTTTCTCAATAACCCCAGCACTCCTCCAAGCTGCAAATCGGAGATGTGGAGGAGTCTCAGATTCATGTCTAACAACCTGCAAATGGGAAAAACTGATGAGCGGTACTCAAAGAAGCCATCCAGATAAAAAGAAGCTGAACCGAAGCCTATGATGGAGTTAGAAGATGAAGAAAAGAGGGAAACAAAAAGTTGCTTGTCACACATTTAAGTTGCAAAAAATGAAGGGGATGTCATAATGAAGTGGAGTCAACTTTACTTCGGGGTAACTCTACAGGGGTCTCAAAGGTTTGAAGGCTACTCTCAGAAGTATGCCATGTCGATTGATGACTAATACTGATGGCTGTACCCAGAAATAAAGGATATTCAAGGCATTCCAAGTTGAACAATTTAGAATGTCAAAAGGATGGGCAGAAGTTGAACTAGGAAACTCTTCGATCTGGAAACTTGACGCAGAGAACCCATAACAGCTACAGAGCAAGATGTCATGCACTTGTGCCTAGTGAAATGATCATGATACGCATGATCACCCACCAACTCCCAAAGTTTTCTACAAAAGATGACACGCATTCACAGGTAATTTAGTAATTAATGCTTAAAACTATCGCCGATGCCAATGCATACATATGTACACACACATGCATAGACTTATTTATATGTATGTATATAATTATTTTACATATAATAATCTGATACTCCTGTATTCTGGTTGCCAGTGTGCTCATCATTTTGAATGTCTCGGGCTGTTTGAAAAAATTCAGTAAATAATAGTGCCACCCATACAAAACAAGTGTAATTTTGGCCCAAGATAGGTGTTGCTTTAGAAAACCAAGAAGGCATTAATTGTTTTTCTTAAAATCTACCTTACTCCAATAAATGATCTAAAAAGTCCGAGGAGACAAAGGTAATTAGCCAAATAACCCTTATGATTAATGCTGGTGTAATTAGCCAAATTGCTACTAAATGGTTTTCTTAATGGCATGCCAAAACCTTAAAACACTTATTTTGGACAGGAGGACGTAATATATTCTAGACAGATTTTCCAAGATCTCCAATTCCTTGAATAATTAACAATAATGTGATGTTTTCCAAGTCAACCTAACTTGTTCAACAGATTGTTAACCAATTACTTCGACTGATGGACTGAGACTGATACAATAAACAATACTGATTACCCCAAAGTCCGGGCTCTCACATAAAATGGTGCCCCGGGAGTAATATCTAAAACACACTTCTAATGTCTGTCAGTGTGTGTGTCCACAAACTGCAGAAAAGAAAAACCCACCTAAACTAATCATCCCCTGGAAACATACAAGACAAAAACAATTAAGCTGTAGAATCTCTTTAAAGACAGGGAGTAGGATACCGGCATTATCTAGGAGAGACTAATATCAACTTGGCAAGATCAACTGCCTCCCTTCTGCTTGAGTGTTATCTTGTCTCCCAAGCTAAGAGCAATTCCTTGTGTTTTGCTTCTTATCCGAATATAACCGCTCAGCTTACCATCTGATTGCTTTTCAATGCTCAGATTCACCAAAGCATCCTCTCCAAACGCACTTTTCGCATACAGATTAGCAGCAAGGAACCCACATTCATCTTCCAAAGCAGATCTGGAATGATGTATGAAAGCAGATACAGGAAAATTTTATACTGTCATCAGCAGCCATGCATCACAAAGAAACAAGACTCAAATGACTTAAGCAACGAACAAGTAACAAGTAACTCCTTTTCTCTTGACAAATCAAGTAACAGGTAACTCCTAAAAGGAATTTATCAGTACATCTTGATACAATTACACATGCGCACACGTACACGTGCAGAGCAATATATATTTAATACTGCCTAACATATCCAGCGAGTGAAAAAACAAAAAATGACCTTAATGATTGTGAAACTGAAACATCAATTTGACTATCTTCTTAATTTTGTGCAATTCAAGTACGTCCAACAAGAGTAAATAAAAAATGTTACAGAGAAGAAACTGATCTCGAGATGATAGAAAAAGAAACTACCTATTTCCCCTCAACTAGAAGTACTAGTGCAAATCCAATTTGAAAAAGATTCTCATTTCTTAGTTAAGACAAATTTGATTCTCACGGATAATGAAGTTCTATATTTTCTGATAGTAAAAACCTGAGTCTTATTCCAACAATTTGCAACATTGCCATAACGTTCAAAAAACTTGTCTCTGAAGAATTATATATTTGACAGGAAACACCATACTCTAGAATCTAGATTGTATTAATATCAATAATAACAAAATCATAAATTATGGGGCAGAATGCTGGCCAGTCAAGAACTCCCATATCCAGAAGATGAACGTAGCTGAAATGAGGATGTTGCGATGGATGTGCGGGCACACTAGGATGGATAAGATTAGGGCAGCCCGGTGCACTAAGCTCCCGCAATGCGCGGGGTCCGGGGAAGGGCAGGACTACAAGGGTATATTGTACGCAGCCTTACCCTGCATTTCTGCAAGAGGTTGTTTCCACGACTCGAACCCGTGACCTCCTGGTCACGACGCCCCACAGAGAACCCAACCTTTTTAAGTAGGGCCTGAAAGAAATCAATTAAGCCAATTTTCAGACAAAGAAGATAAAAAAAGAAAAGTATAGTGGTTAGGATTACATGGCCTTGCCGCCCCGCCACTAGCAGAAGCTAAGCGTTTGAAAAGCGCGCTAAGAAAGGTTGCTTCTGTCGCCCTTTCTGTGCAACGGTCCACCAGTTACGCCAAGGCTCCTTTTCTAGGATGGATAAGATTAAGAATGAAAATATTCAGGAGAAAGTACGTGTGGCCCCCATGGAGGATAAGATGCGAGAAGCGAGGCTTAGATGGTTCGGGCATGTGAGACGGAAAAGCCTAGATGCCCCAGTGAGCAGGTGTGAACGGTTGGCGCTGGCAGGTAGGAGAAGAGGTAAAGGACAGCCTAAGAAGTATTGGGGGAGGTGATCAGGCAGAACATGGAGGGACTTCAGCTTACCGAGGACATGGCCCTTGATAGGGGGTAATGAAAGTCGAAGATTAGAGTAGAAGAGTAATAGGTCGCAGTATGTTTTTCTGATCCGTTCCGGGTTTATTAGGACTAGCATGCTGGTACCTTGTTATTGATTATCAAAGTGCTAGTATTAGGGTTGTTTTTAGTACTATCTTCCGCTTCGATTTTCTAGTACCTTGTCGTTGTTACTGCTTGTTGCTATTACTATTGCTATTGCTATTGCTTTCTTCAATCCGTTTTTTCCAGTTCATTCATTGTTGCTATCATTTGCATGGTCTTGTTGTTGATATTTACTTGTTTTTATTCTTCCTCTCGAGCCGAGGGTCTTTCGGATACAACCTATCTACCTCCCCAGGGTAGGAGTAAGGTATGCGTACACATTATTCTCCCCATACCCCACTTGTGGGATTTTACTAGGTTGTTGTTGTTGATGTTGTACAGGAAACACCATACTCTAGAATCTAGATTGTATTAATATCAATAATAACAAAATCATAAATTAGAAAATGCGAATAAAATAATCAAGCATCAACTTCCATAATTAATTCAGTGTGTGACCAGAGAACTTACGGTGCAGTCAGGCACTTCATGTTGGTTGATTTGATAATATGGTCAAGAAATTCTTTTTCATCCTGAATTACAGTGTTGACAGCAACCTGCAATGTACAATATTAGCTGCGGTGCTCGTGGTTTTAATCAGACCACTTCAGTCTGGGGTATTCATTAGTGCATATAATTAAATATAATTCATGTGTTTGTTGCTCCGTTATTTTGATGGTAAGACACAGAACAGTACATACGAGAGTTCAAAAGCATCAAATGCTGTATTTATCAAATCAAAAAACTCTGTAAATCAAGATTCAAAAACACTTAAAAACATAAGTATTTGCTAGAGAATCGTATCACCTTCAGACCAATAATTTCCTTTAAAAAATTTGGTAAACCCAGTCGTAACACAAATTTTGAAGTAACCCAAAAAGAAACCAGGAATCACGGGACTTAATTCATCAAAATGAAGAGAACGACTTTATCTCTATCTCTATAACTCAACAGATTATTTATGATATCAAAAGGTTTAGAAAGTTAGAAGCAGCAACAACAAAAAAAATAACAATCAAAGAATGGCATTCTACCTTGTTTTCCCACTCGAATTCAGCCCACATAGTTCTAAAAGCAGCATCACTGCACACGGCAGGAGATATGTAATCCATGATGTCAATGTGGATATCATTGAGCACGACAACAGTCCGCTCAAGCACATTTGAAGTCTCATAGACAATGTTACCAAAAATTACTCCAGTCTCAGTAGAAGACACCTTGATATTAGCTTTTATCTGCTTGCTTGACTCAGGAGCTAGAGTATAATTCTGTGGACGCTCAACGAGCTTAAGATCACCCATTGTTGCCAATTCCAAACATAAATTCTGAAGTGTCTCTTTGGTTCGGTTTATAACAGTGACATCCAGGACAATATCATAATGATGAACTGTTACAAATGCTTCAGCGTAAACAGGATCACTAAATCCCGTGAGCTGCAGAACCCGGTTTAGCTTATTAGCATCATTTTCGTCCTTGACAAATTCTCCAGTGGCACGCTTCAAATCATCCTGGACAGCATCTTCCAACTCCAGCTGGCTCATGCCCTGGAGTACATATATTTAGTTAGGACATGGAGGAACAACTATTGCATTGATTCTGAGCACCAACAAGGGGGGAAATTGAACTATCTAGACAACCCTTGCATGTTTTAGAACCTACTGCACAAAATTAGTGTTTTAAGGAGAATGATGAAGATAACTGTGGAATGTGGATGAAATCGCGTGTGGTTTACACATGACCTTATTATCAGCCTTTTTGAGGCGCGAAGTCCACTCTCATTCATTCATCATTTTTGGAGAAAGAAGCCCAAATATTGGCACACAAAAGCACCCCAAACCTCTAATATGCATACAAATTTAAGACTTCTTAATATAGTAAAAACAGTTATTTCTCTACACAGCCATATTTATGACATTCATTTTCTATTCTATTTGTTATATAGAATGAAATTATAACTTAAAAGAAAAGTAGTTCACTTTCAAAATTAGAGATTAGAAACTCAAGAAACAGCAAAAAAAACGGTTCTTTGTAAATCTTTTCTCTATTTGATGGTATCACAATTAGCTAGAAAGGAAAAAATGATATGGTATCAATTGCTAATGAGATCTTACATAAGTATTTAAAGTGAAGTTTAGTCAATTAACATAAACTAAAACAGAGAACTCAAAAATTAGATTTAACGTGAATCATCAAATTTTCTTAGTTTCTACAGATAGGTAATGTGCAGGGCAAGTTACGTTATTCTACAAAAAGTAACGGCACTTATAGAATGTCCAGGTTTTGCACCATGTGTTTTTAAGTTATGATATAATGTTCACAATTCCAAAAAGAAAAAGGTACAGAAAGAACACAAAACCCTTACAAATTAGGTACAGGTTGCAATTTGCACTATTGTAAAATTGAAATATCACATTAAGACACATCTCACCTAAGCAACAAAGCATCAAACAAAATAACTTTGCAATTATTTTCACTCATGATTAGGACCGAAAAAATTACAGTCCCAGCACCAACATAATGAATTCTTCTTACTCCCCATGCTTAAAGAAACTCACCAAAACACATATGTATAACTCTAATTATGTGATTGAAATACCATCATGGAAAGGAAATGTCAAAACTAAACCATGAAATCCCTGGGAAATTAGAATAAACTATCTATTCCTTGATGACCAGAAATAGCACCAAGATCCAGAAGGGTATGTAATTCGGTAAGGTGGAAAGATAAGACACGATGACAATGACCCATGTAAGGCCTGAATGAAAAAAGAGTAGGGATTATGATCAAATACAATATGCTTGGACAGTCAACAAAAGTTTTACTAAGATACTATTATTTATTGATAACTAACAATTCAATAAGCACGGAACTAGAAAAGAGAATCTCCTGAGTCCTCCAACCACAAAATGTTTCAGGTAGAAGTGTCTTACCCTCCTACTCTTCAAATGGTAGAAATCAATGAGGTCATCTGGCTGGGAGAAAGAAGTTTGTGCCTTTGCTTTGATCTCCTCTGTCTCTCTTAGCTGTTTATCAGAAAGCATTTTGACAAAACTCTCTCGGCAAGAGCTCAACCATATCTGCCTAACCTCGTCACCTGTATTACAGAGCAATCTTATGCAAAGAACTATTCTGTCATAAGAATCATTGTCAATTGGGTGAGGAAGAACAGAAGACTGCCCTAGCTGTAGCATTGAGACCATGATTAGTAATGCATTTGTCGTTGCTTTGTTCACTTCAATTTTTGATGGTTGAACTTCTTCCAGCCTCAGAATGAGCTTAGTCAGTGTACAAGCAACAACTGCTCCCAGGAAGAAATCACCAGTGAGAAGAAGGGATCTCAGGTTTCCAGTGGTTAAAGATCCTTGAACAACTGTTGCAGGAGAGAAAACAGTTTCAGAGGCAGCACTTTGAGTAGCATATGTTCCATCAGCAAGGATAGCTGGTCTTCTAGACGACACAGTAGTAATGGAGTTTGCTTGCTGAGTCTTTTTTGAAGAATCAGTAGCTTCACTTTCTTCAGAAACTGAGTAAAATGGTAGGTCTCCAAGACACTGCTTGATAGTTGCAATGCCACTCTCAACTTCAGAGAGAGATAGACAATACTCTCCAATGATCCAAAGGGCACAGGAACAAACTCGTGCTGCTCGAATTTGGTAGAAAGTGTCTAGTAGCCTTGTCACAATGGAAACCCTTAATTTTGGGTTTGTTTCGATAATCTCCCGGACAAACACAACCACATCAATTGCAGAAGCAACATTGTTATCTCCCAAGAAGTCCATCAAAAGATGGACTACAGTGCTTGCCACTTCCGGAAACTTTATGGCACATGAATGAATGGCTTGGATGAGCATTTGGCGGTACTCGCCATTCTTCTCAAGCTCACCGCTTTGAGTTTTCACAACTTCTTTCTTCAGTGTGAGAACAACCTCATTGATATTCCTGGGAGTGATCAATTCAAGAACAATGTCGAGTGTTTTTCTTCTGATGTCAAGGTTCGGGCTGGAAAGTACTCTAAGGACATCCATTATCATATCAACCATGATATCTTTATGGGAAGATTTCAATTCATTCAGTCGATCGAGCACAATAAGCTTAACGTTGTTGTCACTTTGAGATTGAAGAAGTTGACAGTAGGTGTTGGCTGCAGCTCTTATAGCAGTTGGGGCAGAAGACAAGGAAACAAGAGTCCCAGCACATTCATAGGTAACAGCAGCAGAAGGGGCAGTCAGCAATGATATAATAATCTTGATATACCTCCCTTTCTCCGCTTTGTTTGTCCTGCAAACTTTTCGAATCAAATCCAATACAACCATCTGAAGTAACTCGCCCCAATCAGAGACTCTATCAACATGAGTCAAGAGGTAATTGATAGCACGCTCCTGAGCACATTGGAATAGCATCAGAAATGCATTCCTCTTAGCCGATGGATCCTGCTCAGTGGTCAAAACATTCTCGATCTTCTCTGGTGCGTCTACCAGGAGCTGCTCACCCTGTGGGAGCTTGTAAATAGACATCACAGCAAGAATTGCATACCTCCTCACAAATGGATGACGATGCTCCAAGTTACTCATAATAGATGGAATTAGAGGTTCAATTATATCAACCTCATTCAGCCTGCAAAGAAATCTCAAAGTAACTCCACGAAGGTACTCATTCGGATGCTGCAAATTATTCCTCAAGTTCTGGCAGATTAGGATCATCTCAGGCAGCACACGCCCCTTAGAATCCGTCTTCTCAATAATCTCCAAATACAAAAGCAATAGTTTTTGAATTGTGTGATCCTCAGAAGGCAAGACATATCTAATAATAGTAATAAAGAGCTGAGGTAGGGTTTCTCCATTTAATAAAAGCATTACAGCTTTCTTCATAGCATCAATCTTGGCGGGGACATCATTTCCTTCAAGTGCTTCTTTGATCTCATTAGCAAGAGCTGGTGTACCCTTGTCAAAATGTATCAGCAGAGAGCAGGACTTCTCCATTTTATTCCACTCACTTTACCTGAAATTAGTATAGCTTGGCATATATCTCGACCTGACAATATCTTTAGTTTCAAAATAAGGAATAAAGACACAAGGATCAAAGAAAAGAATTCTTCTATTGAACAAGTTATTACTACAATTCATGTTATATGATTAACTAATGCTACACAAATGCGGATTCAGGATTTGATCTTTATAGATTCGAGTTCGAAATCCTACCATAGTCCATTTGATTCACTGGGTTCGAAATTTCTTATATGTACTAATTTATTAACACATAGAGGACCTAAGTTGAAGTTATTGGGTTCAAATGAACCTGTATCTATTACCCTACATCCATCTCTGATGCTACATCAATTCTGTGAATACATCTGTTTTACAAGAAGATCAAATATCACAAAACTATCAAGGGAAGAAAAAGCACTAAATGAAATGCAAGATAATTAGTAAACTCCTATCAATGCACGTTTGATTCAAAAGTGATATAAGGAACTGACAACCTAATACCAAATCCAATTCTTTTAATTGCAGATCAGTACTAAATTACAGTATTGGATCAGAAAACACGACAAAAATGTGATACTGAAGGAAAAAATAAACCTCAAATCATTAAGCTTAAACAAATAGGAGTAAAAAATTGGTCCACGAATTACTACTACATACAAGTCGAAAAGATCATGAAAAGACACACTTCACTTCTGATTCAACCACCAAATTCAGATCCATAAAATTGATCAAAATATAGCATTAATGAAAAACAAGACATTTAGCCCTAAACCATCAAATTCGTAAAGTTTGAAATCAACCCAATAAGCAAAGCATAGATAAAAGAGGACCCAGATAGAGAAATAGAGCAAAGAACAGAACTAGGATGAAAATCAATTGTACACAGAAGAGAAATTGATCAAAAACGTACTCGCCAGATCGAATGCCGAAAATATTACGATCAGAGTGAATCTTCAATAGGAGAAATTCGGTGGGGGCGTCGAATTGGCGAGTACTAGGGGTCTATTATACTCAGATCTGCGAGATCCGAAAATAGAGATAGAGAGAGAAGAGTAGAGTGTGTTGTTTCAAGTTGTAAGCTTTTTTTTTTCCTTCTTAAGTTGTACTCCTGTAGGAAAGCCTATAACAATATAATTCTCTAATAATAATAATAAATAAATGAAAGAGAAAAAACATGTTTCAATTTGACAAACAACGAAATTTGAGGAAAGTAATCAATTTTTCCCCAGGAATCCCAGCAATAAAGGGTGTATTTGGTACGAAGAGAAAATTTTTATCTACAAAAAATTTTCATGAAAAATGTCACTTTTCATGAGGTTGGGGTGCGTGGAGTGGGTGGGGTGTGGGATAGGGGTTGGGGTGGGTGAGCAGAGGTGGTTTGGGGTGGGGTGGGGTGAGTTGGTGGGGATGGGAATAGGGCGGAGAAAGTTGGAAAATATTTTTCAGAAAATGTTTTCAATCATACCAACACACACCCTAAGTTAGTTAGCTAAATGGACTTTTAACTCGTTAGTGATGGATTGATGTTTCGCTAAAAATTCATGTTTTTGCATGTTGCATGTAAATTACCTTGCATTATGCTTCGATCTTATTAAATTTAGTACGAATATTTGTGACTCAAGCTTAATAATGATGTTTATATGTGTAGGGGTCAATCAGAGGTGATATGAAAAGATTGTACATAAATTAAAGCTAAAATAGAAGAATTTAGAGGGGTATGATTTTTTGGCGTCTAGGTTTGAGCCAGACACAATTCAAAATGCAAAAGACAACACTACACAGAGTCGGGCCCCCAGCTTTGCACAAGGCGCAATTCAAAATGCCGAAGCGGGAAACTTTTTTTATTTCGGCTAGGACTTGGTAGCTTCGACCCTAGACGCCCCTAATATGTATAAAAGGGGTTCTAAACCTATTTTTTAGAGGGGAGACATTATTGGAGAGGCAAGAATGTTGCGGGAACACTTGGAAGCAAGGAATCACAAGAGTTTTCTCTCTGTTCTTCCTTAATATGTATTTGACTGCTTTCGAATGTTATCATGATTGTTAGCATGACTATGAGTAGATAAATTTCTTTCTAGAATTTTAATGGACCCTTTTGTAGGATGAATTCTTGATATTGAAGAGGCAAGAAGGCTACGGGAACACTTGGAAATACGGAATTATAAGAGTTTTCTCTTCGTTCTGCCTTAATCTGTATTTGAATGCTTTAGAATATTATCATGATTATTACCATGACTATGAGTAGCTACATTTCTTTCTAAGGTTTTGATTGACCCTTTTGTAGGATTCAAGTCAAGACATTCACTAATCAAATAACTTGTAAAAAATATCATGAACGGGGGAAAGAATAATAACAGAAAGCAATAATAAAAAAAATTGAAATCTCATCAGATTAAGCGATATCTGATTAGAATAAATCAAGGTCTCGTTCCGATAATAAATCATCAAATAGAATCACACACACGGTACCTTTTGCCCACTTTATCAATCACCCTCGCACGGCAAAGATCTCGTGCCACAATATAGGTCACACTCGCACGGCAAAGACTTCATGCCACAATGTATATCACAACCGCACAGCAAAGACCTCGTGCCACAATGTATATCACAACCGCACGACAAAAACCTCGTGCCATAATATATAGTACAACGGCACCGTAAAGACCTCGTGCCACAATGTATATCACAACCGATGTCAGTTATCAATAACACGTTCAAGAAAAATTTAACGAGAATCGAATAAAGTAATGCATGATAACAATTTTGTTTTTATTTCATTCTGTTATGTCACCAATAACTAGCAAAATATGAGATAACAACTCCATGTAGGTGAATTTACTTTGGCAACCAAATCATCAAGAAAATGATAGAGACACAGATTAACACATTGGAAACAACACAACAAAACATGTAGAAATGTATGGCACACACAAGAAGTCATACCACCACACAAACCTCATCAATAAAAATCCCCCAGAACATCACATGTTATCCCTACATAGCGCCCATTTCCTCGCCGCACGCGCAATAATAAAATAAAGGGCCGCCTTGTCTCATCACACGCGCATCAATAATTATCCTACCTTTGTTTCACCACTTGTGCAAATCCGCATCAATAGCACAACAGAAACCTCGTGCAAACACCCAAACAATCTATCCAACAAGTCCACATATGCCAAAATCATAACAACACAACATGCTGATAATTGTTATCAAGACATAAACTCACAATTTGCCAACACAGTGTACAAGAACAACTAACAAAGGAAATGCTAATGGGTGTTCAACATAAAAGCTAACTCAAATTAGCAAGAATCTCACAAACATCCAACTTGTCCAAATAAGGAATTAAAATTCTAAAACATGATATTATCATGGAATATAAACTCAAGTAAACGATCAAAGTGAAATCACATAAAATAAAGACTTCTCAATCAAGACAAAGCGATAAAAGCAACCTCGGGTCAAATCCAGTCGTAAACAACACATACGCCCGTGTACACACTCGTCACCTTATGTACACGTCGTTCACATATTGCAAATAATATAATTAAACCAAATTCTATGGGAAAGTCCCCCCCCCCCCCCACA